TGGGCTCTTTCTTTCGGTTATTTCTTAATAAAATAAAACCGCTTTTCATTGCTTTCTTTTTTTCTTTGCCAATTTTCTTTTTAAAATTCCTGGTTCATTTAACCCCTCCCCCCCCCCCCCCCATAGAAGACCCCCCTTGAACGAATGATGTGGCGGACGTAATAAATCACTCCCCTTAATTAATTAATTCCTCAAAACATGGGAACTTTAATTAGTATATTTGCATTAAAATATTCCAATATAATTAAATGAATTGTTTCTCTTTCATTTTAATTTTTAAATCAAGACATACAAAAATCACTATATATAATGAAGACTGAAAATATTCAATCAATTAAGGGGACAATTACCACAAAAAAGAAGAAAAAGATATGTTTTGACCATGTGCATGTGACTATTTTGAGTGCATTGTGATGCATTTTTTTCGTATTGGTATCGTATTTGTACGAAGAACAAATAAGAGAAGAACCAAAACAGTAGTAAAATTTATTTCGTCTAAATACGAACGATATATCAATGATTTTATTGAATATTTTGAGTATCTCCTATTGATATTTTTTTTCGATGTCTTAATCGAAATTTTAAAAAAAGAAAAAGTAATTAATTTTGATTAATTATATCATTCCAATAATAATTAAATATTTGAATGAAATAATGACGTGATGTTCCAACAATCGAAGTTGCCTTTTTCTTACGTTCTGTAGAAACGGATAGATTTATTTTTAAATTTCTTTTTCTATTCTTTTTGGTATTAATCATATCATAATGGAAAGGCAAAACATTGAAACTGGTAAGAGAGATGGACTTCTTCTTCTCTTCCACAAGCCCACTATCATATTACGGATAGAAGAAAGAAAATAAAAAAGACACTATTGTCCATTTCAAATTAAAAGAAGGATGAGCATTTTTGGAATAATTTTTAATCGGAACGAGATATAGATCTGCGATTTGCACCGTTTAAAAGAGAAAATAAAACTGCGTCGAATCTTAAAAAACCAGACTTTTCTGACAAGTTTTCCCAGGACTACCCGCCAAGCTTCTAAAACAGAAAACATTGTGTAACGTAAAAGTTTTGAAACTTTAATGTTCAATAGTGCAACAGAATTATTAACTAAAGTCCAATAATCTATACAGGTCCCACGTTAAAATTTTTAGCCAATCAAAAGTTATTAATGTTTTACTAAGCGTTTTCAGCAGATTTTTAACAAAAAATATACATTTTTTCTGATTTTTTGACGAAAAATCCACTTTCTAAGAGGGTTGGGCAATGATTCTATCGGTGTCAAAAGTGTTAATTTTAAGCGGAATTTTGACGTTCAAGTCAAAAATGCTTCTCTTAATAACGTCACAACAGGATAAAATTATAAAACAGTTCGTTTTACACATAAAAGCTATTCAACTTTCAAAACTAAAATTCATATGAATAATGAGAATAGCTGTGGGATAAATGACATCAAGTAATGAAAAAGAATTTCAGCTATGCAAAAACTTCTAAGATAACTAGTTATTCATACATATACTTATTCAACGAAAAACTGAAAAATCACAGCGATAATGAAGATGTCTATAGGAACATTGAAATCAAAAAATGGAAAAATGATTTCTTGTATAAGAAAAATTGTTAGATACTTCACTAATTAGGTATATATATAGCTATTCAGCGGAAAAATGAAATCGAAAAATAAAAAAAAGATTTATTCTTTCAGAAAAATTGGTTGATATTTCAAGAGGTATAAAGATATTTATTGAGGGAAGAAATGAACATTTATATTAAAAATGGTTGCTACCATCAGGCACACAACATAACATATAGGAGGAAATACCTTTACAGAAAGCAACGAGTATCGGGAAAATTTCTTAGTCTTATTGGAAGAGTGATCTAGATAGATTCATTAAACCAGTGTCATAAAAGAATAATCCTTTCAGTTAGTTGTACGAAGTAAATATATCACTCTTTCAGTATATACTAGCATGGTAGGGGGAAAATTAAAATCAACAGACATACTGCTCAACGCTGTAAGAAGAATGATTCGAAGAAAGGTATTTTTTCTGTATCTTAAGAGATAGATAATTTTATTATGCTATATTCGAAGTGAGTATAGCATCTAGTAGGCTGTCAACGGAATGACGAAAGTTAAATGATCTATGAAATGACATAAAATTTCGTGTGCATTGAACGGGTTGTTTTCAAACGTATTCCTTTTCTGAATGGTAGTCATAGAAGAATGAGAAACGGATGAAATGCGGACACATACGCACATATGTATATGACGGTGTTCCTATACGAACACAATGGAAAGGAAATTCATTTTTAACCCAAATGGCATTTTTCCGCTTGAAATGACCATTTATCTCACCAATCGATTTTTTGTTCATTACTGGCCCGTGAACAAAATGCAACAAGAGAATGAAAAAACACGAAGAATGCAATCATAATACCTGCAGATAAAGGAGAAAGAGTGATAGTAATGAACAAACAAGAATACATAAACGAGATCGAAGAAAAACTAAACGACAATGATGTTTACGAAGAAATAAAAGCTCCAACGAACATGACGCAGGCTAAAATAACAATACTTGCTAATAGATTATTTAAATCGTAACGAGTTAGTAAGAACATGAAAAATGAATTTTTACCAATCGACGATCTTCGAACAAAAACATGACGACCTAAAGTACATAAATAATATTGTTCAATGCAGCAGAGGGCGTTGGTGGGGTGTGCGTAGGGGTGATCGTGGATGTAGGTGAATAAGAAGAGTTACACCCACATCCCACACCCATCTAACTGAGAAAAAGAGATAAATTTGGGATTCTTCTCTCGACGACCTCAAGTTCGACAATGTTTTACAATTCAATTAAATCTGACAAATTTAGTTGTCAAATCGAAGAAAATTTGCTGTTTTCTTCTTTTTAATATTCGAACAGTAGTTTATCAATCTTTTTCATGATCAGTCTAGTTCGTGACATTCTCTTATTGAAAAACCTGCAATAGTTAAAGTAGAATTGTCAGATGAAAAGTATGATTCTGTAATGTTTAATGCAATATGTAATCATTCGCTACTAACATAGCAAACGTTCGATAATTTTCAAACGAATAAAAATAACTGTTTCGTATGTTTAAAAATTACATACAATTCCCTAATCTTTATTCTTGACTATTGGAAAATATGAGTGTTCAATATTTAACTTCGATATCTCATTAGTTCAATCCATTGGTCATTGTATACTTGTCGGCAAGCTGTTTCCCATTCTAATATTATATCTTGGTCTAATCGTTGCATGGGTTGACGTTGATTTCGTTGTTGTTGTGATCGTCGATTTTCATCAATGAAACCATGTTTGCCCTTTTTACATCCGCCTGTCGATGCAGCACCAGATTGCAGAATAGCACCACAACATATCCATTTAAATTTATTTTTTTCTCGTTCTAGTGCTTCTCGTCGATCAGAATCATTAATAGCTTCTGACTCAATTTTGCTTAAATATAGCGTTGCTTCGGCTAGACTGTAATAGGCCAAGTCAGCAGATGCATTATCATAAATGAAGCCATCATGATGAGTACAAGAGCCTTGAAAAGAAACAAAATGTATAAATAGTCGCCGTCATTGTTCATATAACAGTCAATATTCTACATTGAGTAGAATTACATATATACTGCGATATTTCAAAAACCAAATTGTAAGATTAGTTTTAAAATGTAAGTTGAAAAATTCGATCTAATTATGAGATTCATCTCTAGGGAAAATTTCAAGCAAAATTACACAAGTTCAATGATGATCATTGATAAATACTTAGTAAAAAGAATCTATATGAATGAATACTCCTTAGGCTTTTTCTGTTGATAACAAATTTCATCTTATGATGAGATTTTTGTAAGGAAACGTCTCTGATAGGCATATCGATTTTCGGATTGAAAAACAGCTTTTGTCCGTACTCCATTATCAGCTGTTATTTTTCTTCAGAAGAAGGAGTTGGATTTCTTCAGTACACCACTAGTGTGGATGATTGAACGATGTACTAATACAATCGCATCCAATAGAGTAAAGTAAATTTCACTTTGAACATCATGATTTATAGTTTCATTACAATTAGGTGACGAATTGTTGCAACTCATCTAAAAAAACAACGTAAATAGATATAAAACAAAAAGTCAAATTGAGCGAACAATTTTACTGTCGAAACATGTGAAAAACTATTGAGAATCTATAATTACTTTTGAAACACTTAAATAGTGATATCTTAATAAATCTCTGAAGCATTTTCAGTCTTTGATAAACTCAGTCAAAATACCGAAAAAATGTATAACTTACCCATTTTATTTTCATTTTCAATATAAAAATCTCGACATTTGACACATTGAATAAAATCTTCACTTTTTCGTCGTTCATCTTCCATTTCATCTTCTTCTTGTTTCGTTCGAGTAAAACCTACATCAGCACAAAATTGACGCAGTAAAAATTGTTCACGTGTAACTGCAATAGCCCATTTTTCAACACGTTGGGCATCATTAGATGACACTGTTGTTTCAATGACAGCTTCACGAAATCTTGCTCGAACATATGTATAAATATTTTGATTGACAACAGAAAAATTTGAAGATCGACCCATTGAACTTTCTGATTCACTTTTATTAACACCAATTAATGAATCTAAATCGTAGACAATCAAGGAACGATTGTATGCAGCATATTCATCATAACGTTCTTTCAATGTTTCAAATATTTTCTTTTCATCATAGGCACTTTGGGAGGATAATAGATTTAGATCAATCAATTGTAGCAATTGTACATTTCGATCTTTACCATATCGTGTTATGCGCTCAAGAAGTTGTTGTAAATTTGTTTCATTTTCATTGAGATTATGTTCAATAATAATATCTTTTGGTTTTTGCAATGCATGATTACGTGCTTCAATTCGAACACATTGATCAAATAAACTGACAATGATTCGACCTGTATAGGTAATAGCTGGGCTTCGTTGATCGTCTATTAAATGTGATATTTGTTGTATATTATTCGATGGATTTCGATTTGGTACAGCTAAATTACGTAAAATTAAACGTGGTAATGTATCACTACCAAGTGAAATTTGATATTGTTTTGCTGTTTTATCAGCTAATTGTAGAGCATCAACATAACTCATTTTATATGTTGGATCCTTGCGTAGTTTGACCATTGAATAGACGGTAATCGTTCGACTGAGTGCACTAGAACAAAAGGTGAATTCATCAAAGCTTATCATATGGAATACGTTCAGTTTGATCAATGTTGTAAAGCACATTTATATTTCAAGTTGATTTGATGAATGAAGAAAAGACATAGAACGCAAGTATTACCTTACTATATTTCATAAGGCTTAGAATAATTTTATTTTTAGATGCATCCGATGCATAAAGTCAATATGATACTTTTGAGAATTATCAGAGTTTGTTTTGATGAGATAAATTGATTCTGAAAAGTTAATTTCATAGATATGTTTTGCTTTGCAGTAGAATAAAACATACAATAGAATTAAGACTGGGTTGTTCTTTCGAGGAAGTGAAACACTTCTAGTTAACTGTTCAGAATTTCGGAAGTATAATTCGAAAGGCAGATTTACATGTGAATTTTTTGCTCAAAAATGATTTTCGATCCTTCTAGAAAGAAAACAATGAAAAACACCTGTAGAAGGCCTTTACCAACATTTTTGAAGAAGATATCTTATTTTATTACAGTCTATTTCGATTATCGCATTAATCTTTCATAGTAAATAAAAAATCGAAATTCTTTTTTTTTAAATAGATTTGTCAATTAATTCCATTTTTCAGAAAAATGATGCTTACATTCAGAATATGAAATGTTTTGTTTCTCCAACTAATTTATTTTGTTTTTCAAGTAAATGAATTTTCCTCTTAATTTTGCTATTTGTCAGGCAAATTGTTGATCGACTGTTTTCGTAGGGTACGTCAAAGATTAATAATAAACTTTTTAATATTATCGTAGTACGAATACAATGAACGACAATGTAGGAATGAAATGAAAGGATGTCGGTGGATAGGTGTCTTCATTCGTTCTCGCTACTCACAACCACTCTTTAGATTCACAATGAGAAACTGCATTGAATAACCTGTCATTTGTTAATTTTTAACATAAGCTTTTCTTGACAGTTGTACAGATGTGAAATTTGTGTTTCTATCAACCCATTTGGTAATGTTTATTTCGAATTTCTCTTTTCAGAAGCTCAAAGTTTGGAGGGTTTTAGCAGTTAGAAACAAATAGGACACGTGGACAAGAAACTTTGAGCTTCTGTACTGTGCATTTCTCGGGTTTCCAGAAATTCGGGAAATACATAAAATTAAATACGAAAAGGGAGATTTCTCTTTCTGTTTCTTCTATGTTTGTAAAGTTCAGAAAAAAAACCAGCAATGAATCCATTTCTTGCTGTCAAAGATAACAAACGTCAAAGATCACCGAATAATATATTTAAATACAAGTCGTACTTCAGAAATGGTGAAAAATTTTCCAATATGATCTTCACTTCCTTCGAAAAGAAACTACAGATATCCCTACACAGAAATTTTTCAATCAGACATCCTCTCAGAGATTTTATATTGAAAATATTTATTGTTGAATTTCACTTGTTTCGCATCAATCGTCTATTTTTTTTGAGTACTAGAAGTTAAAAATGCGCGTTATTAGAAGAAAATAAATCATCTCATCCTACTCTATCGAAATTTCCCACTATGGACTATATGTAATATTAGATTCATTGCTATTTTGATCGTTTCTGATTTGCGTTATGGTTATTCTACTGCATACTCTGCGCCTATAGTATTCCACTATTCGAAGTGTGAGTGTAAAATGAATAGAAGACCCACATCGGCACTCTATATAATCTGATAGACAATGCTGTTTTTGTATTTTTTTCTTAACCATAACTTCTCGTATGTTTTTTTAAATGATAAACATACCCGACAGCTGCTCCACTAAAATTTGTTGTAGCAATAGTTAATCGTTCCAACATATCTGGTTCCAAAGCCCAATCCGGTATTTGTGAAAGAATATTTCGTCGTGCTTCTGATGATGGTCGACCGACAAAAAATTTACCGGACATACGTCTTAGAAAAGCTTCATCCATCATATGTAAACGATTTGTCGCACAGAATATCATCAAATTCGGAATATCTTTAATACCTTCGATAAGACTAAGTAGAACACTAATCTTATCAACTTTGCCTTCAGATGAATCTTCGTCACGCTTCGGTGCTAGAGAATCGATTTCATCAATTGAAACACAACATTGTGTATATGGTATACGATTACAACGTGTACATAAAGCAATAATAATTCGTTCAGATTCACCAACAAGTGGACGATTTAATTCACCAGCGGCTAGTGGTGGACCCACCATTTGTATGCCGATTTTAGTTGCTAATTTACTCATAATTTCTGATTTACCCGTACCTGAAAAAAAATTAAACAAAATTCGACACGGTAAAGTGTTCTATGTGTTTAGATATTTATAATTTTACCCGGCGGACCGAACATTATGAAACCACGATGTGGCTTAACCAACTTTTTATGAACAACTTTTTGTTTTTTATTCAGCTCGAATTGAACATTTTTCAATTGATTTCGTTTTTCATCTAATTGTCTTTCATAATCTTTAATAACCTTATCAATATCATCTTTAAATTGTTGATGTTCACTAATATTTTGTTCCAATTTTTGTTCTCTTTCCTTCCATTCTTGATCTAATTGTTGCACAAATTGAGCTTGTTCATGCTCATTATTGCGATTGATATTTTTCACTTGTTCTGACTTTTTTCTTATATAAATGAGATATTCATCATGCAATTCTTTTTGTGCCATTGTTAGATTTTCATCGTAGGTCCAATAGATGCTAACGTGTTCATTATATATATATTCAACTGATTTTATGTCGTCGATCAATGTTTGTTGTTCCTCTTCTCGTTGTTTACGAAGATTTTGATGATTATGTCGTTCCATCTTCAATTCATGTTCAGTTATTGTTAATGGAAGAAAAAATTCTTTCATATTATCAAATAGACCGTCATCTGAAAATCCTTCTTCACGTATTTCGTTAAATGATAATTCGACGCATTCCGGATTTAATTTTGCTATTATTTTACTTTGTTTCAAATCGAAATTATCTTTTAATGAATGGTAAAAGAATAATTTGATCATATGTAAATTTGCTAATAATTCCGATTTTGAATATGATGTTACAGATTCTAAGAAAAAAAAACTAAAAATAAATCTATGAATTAGATATTTATTTTCATTTTGTTTAGAAATAATTCATTTGTTCGTTTATTCAAGAAGTTTCTTTTTCTCGAATATTATTTTGATGAAATAAATTTCATTGTTGAGAAAAGTATATGTATCAATTAACTCGTAAAAGAGAGCGAACTCGATGGTGTGAGTGTGTGAATGTTTGGTATATGGTTGTCGCTGAACACAAGAATCATATACCAAAACCTCACATCGGTACGGTTATACCTGTCCAATTCTAATTCCAACTCTGAATCTAATTTATCAAAGTGTATTCTTTTTTTGACTGAAAATAATTGAGCTTACTTTAAAAAAGAAAATGAGTATACTGAAAAAAGTATGTTTGTACCTTGTTTTTCTTTTTCATTTTGATTCTCATCTTTCTTTGCAATTGTTTTTCGTTTTTCATCATCAGCTGTTTGTTTTTCTCGATCGACATATTTTTTTATTGTTTTTTTGGCATTCATGGATAATTTAACTATTCCATTCCAATCAGTCTCTTTTAAATTAGCTAAATGAGAATATGTTATAATATCTTCGAGTTCTCGCAGTTGTTTCAACCATACATCAGTCATGCCATTATTTTCTTTCAAGCATATATCACGTATGAAACTTTCCAACGAACTCGTATTTGGTCGTTCAATTGTCATTGTTTCTGTATCATCATTGATTTTATTATATGCATCATTTACTTGATAATAGATCTGACCATTGTCAGCAAAACGCCATTGCTTTGGAAACAATTGAGTAGAACATGGTTTTAACCAAATATCAAATAGATCATGAAAATGATCAAAATGCCACGTACTAAAATCATCTGTAAGACTGATTGGTTCGACAAGGCGAAATCGTGTTTGTGCATGAACAAATGAAATTATGCCTCGATTTTCTAATTGATGACGAATAAATAAATCGAGTACACACCCAAATGGTAATTTTGTTCGATCTTGGGTTACAATCGTAGTAGAAGTTGAGTGTTGTGGCGATTGTCGAAAATGATCTGATCTGTTTTACATAAACGAAAGCGAAAAATCTGTGAAAGCATATCAATCTTAAACCTTTCAAGTTAAATCAAGAAACCTGGTCAGATGAGTGCAAGCTCGTGAGATCAAACTAAATCTTGTTCAGACTAAATTTAGTCTAAAATAATTCGCATTATGGTGCTTGCTATAAAAACTAATTCTATTGACCTGCCCATCTAACATGGTGTACAGTGTGAATGTCCGTTTCTCGTCTTTGTGCCAACATTCTGGCTTATACACTCTTCAAGATTTTATCTATTCCCAACTTGATCCATTTTATAGAGTTATTGTCGTTTTAAAAGCTCTCTACTGCTGGAAACTACTTTTACAGTCAGTAGTTCTAAGTAAAATATTTGGAAACACTCAAAATATAATTGATATTTTCGTATGCGAGAAAACAAATAACACACGTTTTATACATGTGTACTAAACAGTACACAATTGTTCTACTGTTCTCATTTTTAGGAACGACTGCAAATCCATGTGTCAGGTTTGGTTGTGGACATTTATATGGATGTTGGGATACGATGTTGGTATTAGTGCAAAGGTGAAGAAACTATTGATATGCGTGACCATACTCAAACATGCAGAAGACATCCACATTCACACTCTACTTTCTTCGATTATACTTACGCTGAGGCGTTGTTGGTTGTTGATGACTGCTTTTGAAGTTGTTGAAATAAAAAATTGCTGATGAAATCTTGAATTTCTTCTGTATCCATCTTCATACTTAATACACATACACATTCGTTTAAGACTACTGGTGGTGTTTGCTGTTGTGGTACCGATGATGTTTCATTTCTATTGTTTATATCTATATTGTTTAACGATTTTGGAATAGTTGATGAACTAGCTTCACTTGGCGTTGACCTTGAATTCACTTTGTTGTTTGCCAAAATCGAACTTGTTTGATCTAGAGCTTTCAATCCCATTTTCGATCTATGAATATCGTCATATTTGACACACAATCTTAAATATTCTCTATCGACTCCTTCCTTGCTCAGGTTTAATTGTTGACAAACATCATCTAAAGCTTTTTCGTCAATTTCATGATCGTCCAAATCATCGACTTTTGTCAAATCCTGATAAATACTCCGAATTCGTCTTAGATGATCCATGTTGATGGCATTTGCATCTTGTGATAATGATAAATATATTGCAACAGTCTTGTTTTCTTCTGCCATGATTATTTCTAAAACTGAAATAAAAGTAAATCCTGAATGTAAATGTCAGTGTAATCTGCTATTTCCCCATACTCAGACTCATGACATTTTTATATTTTATTTTGATAAAAAAAATTATTTCAAAATTAGGAAAGACTAAAATAGATATTTTGTTTTTTAAACATATTAAAATCCCAAATAGCCAGCATACTTTAGAACATATTACCTGATTTCACGATACAAAGTATCGCCGATTTCACATTATTTTCTCTATAAAAATATGACTGATTATAGTTTTCATTATAATACACACACGACAATCTGAATCTGCGTCTATAAATTTAAAAAAATATATAATGTACTATTTGCAAGATAAATTCTTTATTTCAAAACAGTCGAGTAATACTATGCCTGGTGAAACCCGTGATGAAAGATTCGTTGCTTTTACATCTAAAAACCCTATGTGAGACATTTTCTTTGATGGAAAAAATGCGAATCGGTGAAAGCTAGCATGTTGAAAATTTATTCTCGTCACGCAGTACATTTTTTTGATAATGTAAAAAAAATGTACTTTATCCTGGTAAAAACGCCGATCTTTTCGATTCTTATCTACTGTGTAGACCAACTTTTTCCCTGTTGCTTCTATTACGATTGTGCGCATACAGATGAAACGATAATATGTTTTTCTCTTGCATATTGCTCGTTCTTTAAGTTATATTTAAATAAAGCAAACACATAATATGAGTCAAAATAGATGGGCTTAGGTTGCATGCGAATGGAGAAACGAATGGTTTTTTCCTCTTTTTTGTCTGATGCGGTGTATAATTAATCATCAAGCATTGTTCTTCTCTTTATTTGCTTTTTCATGACGAATTTATCGTCGTTGGATATTTCAATATAAATGATAAAAAATACCCATTCCTTTTCATTCATTCTCAACTAAGTATAAAAATATTATCCTTGCCGTTTCTATTTATTTTCTTTTAACTCTTAATTTTTCAAAAGCCTCAGCATATTCAAATTTGATGGCAGCGTCTTATGCAAACACTGATTATCAACAAAATGAATACAATGCAGCTAATTTGAATATCGATGATCATCATGCATTGATTCAACAGATTGATACAGAACTTAAAGATCTTAATAATCAACAACAACTCGATAAAGAGAAAGAACAAAAATTAAAGAGAGAGATTAATGAATTGAAACAACAAGCTCAAAAATGCGAAAATGAAATAAAAAAATTTGAGGAAGAAGTAAAGCGTATGACCGCTGAAATAGAACGATTGGAACAAGAATTAAATGCAATAAAAGATGAACAGCAACGTTTACAAAATGAAATTCAACTGAAAGAACAAGATCGAGATCGTTTAGAACAAAAATTTCGAATAGAAGAACAACGTCTCGAGCAATTAAAAGATCAACTTCAAAAATTAGACGATGAAAAACAACGACTTGAAGAACAACGTGTACATCTGGAAGAATTACGTCAACAAATTGAACGACAAATAGAAGAAATCAATCGTCAAATACAACAAATAGAACATCAAATGCAAGAACTTCAAGCTCGTATTGAACGTTTGCAAGAAGAAATCCGACCACTACAGCTAGAAATTCAACGTATCGAAAGACAACTCCAAGATTTAGCAATTCAATTGGCAAGAATAGAGCAAAAACTCGAAGAAACCGAACGAAAAATTCAAGAATGTCAACAAAAGATGGATGAAATTAATGAAAAAATCAATAAAATCGAAGATATGATTAAACGAATCGAGCAAGTTATAGAGATGAAACGTAATAGAAAACAAGAATTTGTGACATACAGACGCGAATTACAAAGGAATCTAATGGAAGCTAAATCCAAGGCTGCACAAATCCAAAAGGAAGTCGCATTACTACAACAGCAAATTATCCAAGGAAGAGAACAAATCAATCAACTCAAACGCAATTTAGAAACTTTAAAACAAACTATTCAAATACTTGAAAATCAAATGAGATCATTGGAAAAAGAATTCAAACTTTTAGAGTAAGTTAAATACAATACTCTATGGTGTTTCATTTTATTTTACGTGCTCTCAAAAGCTAGTCACGCATGTTCTAAGAGTTAAAAATCGTTTTCATTTCGGATAGATCAAATAATATGCGTTTAGGATGAGAAGAAAGCAAAATAAACCTTATTACTGTTTCTACAACTGCTAGTAGTGATACACATACCAAAATAAATTTTAAAAAAATACATGGGAAACTCATAGATTTTTGCTAATGGCTTTATTGAAACACTATTTTTTCTATTCATTAGACTGAATAGTTGAATTCTAGAAAAGGTAATTAAATCATTTTGTCTGTCTGTCTTTAAACACGTTTGTAAAACATTGTCTATCCTATATGCATATATTTTTCGTTTTTCTTTGCTAAAAACATTGTTCCAAGAAAAAATAACTTATTTAACACCACCACAAAAAGATCTTTCGATATGGTGAACCCAGTTAGAAGGTTTTCAGATTTATTCATGGATTTTACGATGTTTGCTCTTATTTGAATGCTTAGTCCATTTTGTTTTCATACATGTGAAATTTGAAACTTGAATTCAATTCAGTTTTCAAGTTTCAATTCGCGAAAGAACTCACACCAAGTCTGTCTTGAAAGTTGAAAAATCAATTCAATTCAAGTTTCAAGTTTGACTCTGTTGAAAAAACGATGCGTTTAGTCTATGAGCAATGAAAGAAAAATTCGTTAACTTTCAATTTAAATTCTTATTTACATTTGCTGAGAGAGACAGAAAAAATAGCTTTTTTAAATAATTGAGCAGCAATAGTGGTCCCATACTATAATTGCCAATCATTTTTCTTGTTGAGAATGAAGATGGAAAGTCAATCCATCTGGCAGATTCCACAAATACGTTAATGTTCATTTTAATCGAATTCGATACGAATCATTGGTTGCAGCATTTCTTGTATGAATTATAAATCATATAATTTTCGTTGTCTCTTTTTTTTAGAAGCAAGATTAAAGAAAAAGAAGGCGAACTCAAATCATTGAAAGATGACTTGAAAAAGGTCGATGAACAACTTCAAGGAAAAAACAATGATCTCGCAAAAGTCGAAAATGAAAAAAAACAAACCGAAAACCGAATAAACACTCTAGATAGAGAAATTAAAGACTTGAATGAACAACTAAACAAATTGACAAAGGAGCGAAGCGATTGTGAAAAGCAATTAGAAAAAGAAAAGAATACATTGAAGGAATATGAAAAAGAACTGAAAACCGAAGAAGCGAAACAACGTCAAGCTGAACAAGAAGTTAGAAATCAAGAACAAGTGGTACGAACAGCTGAAGCAAAGCTCAGACAATGTGAATTAGAAGAAAAGGCTGCTAAAGCCGCGGAGGCACAAGCTAAAATCGACGTACAAATGGCACAGGCCGCATTAGCTGAAGCTGAAGCGGAACTACTAATTGCTGAGGCAGAATTAGCTACAGCCATGGCTGCAAGTGTTGTTGTACCAGCAGCTGTAGCTGCAGCGAAGGCTCATTTGACCGCATGCAAAACAAGAGTAGCTGTAAACAAAACAACTTTAACCACGTGTAAAACAGCACTAAAAGCATGTACTGAAAAACGTAGAATTGCAGAAAATAACCGAACCCAAGCAAATAATGAACTGACAAATGCACGACAAACATTGAAGACTAAAAATGATCAACTCAAACAACAAAAAGATAAAGTTGAGCAAACGAAGGACAAAATTGAACAACAAAAGAAAACTATACAAGCCACTGAAAAAAAACTCGATGATAAAAGAAAAGAATGTAAAAAGGTTGAAACAGGATTGAAAGCAAAAGAAAAAACATTGGCAAACGAAAAACGAAATCTTGAAAAACAAAATCGTCAAATTGATAAATTAAAAACGGAGGTAAAAAAACTGGAAGATAAAAAAACTACATTGACTAATAAACATAATCAAGCAGAAAATGAATTGAAAGATTTTCGTCAAAAAAAAGCAGAAAATGAACAAAAAAAAACACAAAAAAAAAATGAACTAACTAAAAATCAAAATGAAGAAAAAACGAAAAAGGATGAATTAAAAACAAAAGAAACAAATCTGCAAAAACAAGAAAAAGATTTACGTGAGAAAAATCAACAATTGATGAAAGCACAAAATGAAGTTCAAAATATAGAAGAGAATATTAAGATGTGTGATAAATCAATTCAAGAATTAGAAGCTGATAAACGTGAAGAAGAAGAAAAAATGCGAACAGCACAACAAGAAAAAACGAATTCTGAAAGGGAACTATCAAAATTAGAGAAACAATTCGAAAATTTTGAACATGAACAACAACAATGTGAATCGGAATTGAAACGTTTAAACGATGAATTACGAACTAAACGTCAAATTTTAGATGATAAAGAAGTTCAAATGTCAAATTATGAATCACAGTTGAGACGTCGAGAAAACGAGTTATCATCGAAAAAACAGGAACGCTTAGAAGAACAACAACAACTTGATGATGTTAAAACACAATTAACTCAAAATCGACAACAAATAAACAGTATTGAAAGGAAAATGGTCAGTGTTAACCGAGAAATACAGCAACAAGAACAAGTTAAATCAGATGCTGAACGACGATTACATGAATCAGAATATGAAATCCGAAATAAACAAACTGAACTTGATCGTTGTCAAAAGAATATCAATGATAAACAACGAACATATGATGGTATTAAAAATAAACATGAGCAAAAAGTACAACATATTCAACAACAAACAGATCTAAAAACTAGTATCGATGAAAAAATCGACAATGCAAATAGAGAATTTGTAAATGTGCGTCGAAATATTGGTGAACGAGCTTTGGATCTCAATAATAAAGGTCGACAAATGAAAACAGCTCAAGAAGCATTATCAAATTATTCAATGAATACAATCAATTCGCATCAACAACATGTTAATGAAAATTTCGAGCACGACTATTCGCCTGTACATATTAGTCAACAACAGTACAATACAACGACACGTTAAAATTCAAAGAAACACACTTAGAAAATAATTTGAAATCAAGAAAAGAGTTAAATACAATTACTATTTCTTATTCATAGACAATCTAGATACACGCAACTGCACATTCTGGTGTTGCTATTTTTTTCTCTTTTTAAACTTTTCTTTACGTTTTCTGATTCTTGTAGTATAAATGAATCTTCATTGTTTTTGGATATATGTATTTGCCTTACAACTCTTGATATTGTCAATCACCCGGATTTTATTTTTATATCGCTGTTGCCATTG